TTTGAGAAGTTCCAACCCACAAGCATGGATACCATCATCTCCCTCCACACATTAATAATGTCATGGATAATGTTGATTCCTTCAAACATTTTTTTCAAGCAGATTTTTCTCATATGTAAGTATCCCTGTTTTTTTTTTCCTAGATAAACACTTTTAACAGTATATTGTGTAATATCATGGTGCATACCTGTGCACATATTACACTGTAATGCACTTTAGAAATTTTTTGCTTCAGCATCTATTTGTCTAATTCCCTTTTCAGAGTGTTTTGTAGATTCTGATTTGTTTTATGGGATTTTATGTTTCAAGACAAAATCACAAAATTGAAAATAATGTGTTGTTTGATTTGTTTAGAAAAACACGGTGAAGATTGGCCTCCTTGGTCTTAGAAGACATTGCAGCAGCTATTAGATATTAGGCACTGGTTATTACTTTACTGACAAATACTGGCACATTACTTTATTGACAAATGATGCATGTTGCTTCAGCTGAAAGACTGCAGGAATCAATATATCCTTACTGGCTATGACTGCTCTCAGGCACATATATTAAAGAACTTTTCTGAGGGTCAAAACCCACTCTAAAATCAGCAATGCCTTGTGTCTCTATCAGGGTCTAAGCAGTGATATGTTCCATAACGTTTTGCATGTCAGAATTTATGAAGAAGCTATACTATTTAATGCTTACAGCTCTACCTGTGCACTTTTACATTGAATTTAACATGCTGACGCCAGGATGGGAATGATGTGTGGTGTCAAGTTTAACATTGAAAGTGAAACCATAATAAACCAGATGACATGTATTTAATTGACGGGACATGAGGTGAGACATGTAATTGGGCTGGTATAAGTTGAGACACAATCATCATTTGAACTTACATCCCTGTGGAATTTCCACCACTAGATGTCCATTAAACAACATCACCTCTACAATTCACTTTAAGTAGTAAAAAAAACTGTTCTATTATCGTCATTGGGTAGTCCAGCACGAGGGGTTTGGCTTTTAATACAAGAGGCCCAACATATTCTCATTATCAGTGCGTATGAAATGGTTCGAAAAGTTATGCAAACTATTTCGTACGTTTTGGACGTTTTTCCTCAAAAAACCACATCAGTGCGCATGCGCTGGAAGACAGAAAAAAAAAAGCCGATCCACGGATGGACGTAAAACTGGGAAAAACAGTGCAATAATCACTTATTCATGTCTCTAACTACGTTGCCTACTGTTTCATATCTTAGGGTTAGGGTCAGGGTCAGGGTTAGGGCTAATTGTAATTTATATTCTATATTCGTGAATGGTGCGTCAGATGTGCATGCGCATACCACGAAAAAAACGTCCAAAACATATGAAATTACGGTGCATAACTTTTCGTACGATTTCATACGCACTCATAATGAGAATAGGTTGAGAGGCCTCACATTGGGCTGCTGTAAAGCTGTTCATCTTGACTCAAGGACAAGAACAGGGCCATGAGACTGCCACTGGGTCAGTAGCTTGGACGCTAGAAAGGGTTGATTTCTGACCCAAACCAAAAGGGGATAATCACTCAATTGCCCGTTAAACCCTTAGACTACCAATTACCAGCACTTATATTAAGTTTCGCTTTGAATGCTGATGGAAAGCTGGGTCATTCAAATGTCCTTCGGAGGTTATTTCCCTCTATACTTCCCTCTATACAGGTAAGAAGTCTTTAAATAAAGAACATCTCAGGGTCCCATGATTATACCACAACAACTTTTAGTTTTATTTATTAATAAAATGTTAAAAAATGTCTCATCAAAATTATTTGATGAGACATGTAGGTTAAAAATTCCTCAGCTTTTTAAACATAAAAATAATGGTAAATTAAACTACCACTGTTGGAGAAATGGTACATTGGCTAAAAAAAAAGATTTAGAAGATGGCAATGTCAGATATGTTCATACCCATGCGCTATACTCTATCCTGCTGTGGACGATTCCACTCGGTTGCTGGCTATGGCACAGGAGTCTGATTGTTGCACCTGGGTAGATAGTGTGGATGAATCCTGCTAACATGTTGATGTTATTTTCACTTTTTCTTGGTCAGGACCTTGAGTCAGGTGACCAACGGGGAGTGAAAAGTAGTGCTCATCTGTCCAAACGGTTAGTTAGCTGAGTTCACTCTAAAGTCCCCTAAATAGTCCCCACTCTATATAGTGACTGAGGGGTTAGGCTCGATGTTCGGACACAACCTCAGCATTACTCTAAGTCATTAAAACCTGAGGGTGAAAGAAAAGGAATATGGATAGAAAAGGATAAATTAATAACAACATAAATTTTTTTTCGATTATCTAAAACACATGACAGTAAAGCAAAAACAGAAAAAAAAGCTAATCAAAGAAAAAAGATTTCACAACACGGTTTAGTGTAAGTAAGTAAACTCCATTTTGTAATAATTTCCCAGAACATTTTACCGGGCACAGGCTGTCTTCCCTCATGTCTGCTGACATCTGTGCCCTCAAGACATCAATATCTCATGAGATCTATACTTGTCTGTGCTTCCTATGGTGTAGACCCATGCAGGCTTATTTGACCTTTTTGATGCTTCCGGTCTGACTGGCATGCATTGATCTGACACAGAGAGGAGTTTCTGCATCCAGCCGTAAGAGATTAAGGTACAACAGGTCTGTTTTCTGCAAAAAAAAATTTAAAAAATTCTTTGTGGACAGTATTTGTATTTGCTCACCCATGCAGATTATTGTAATCAGGTATCCTGATCACTTCCATGGCCACCGGTTTTTAAAATCAAGCACCTAGGCTTACAGACTGCTGCTATAAACATTTGTGAAATAGCTGGTCACTCTCAGGAGTTCAGTGAGTTCCAGCCAACAACTGTGATAGGATGACACCAGCGCAACAAATCAATTAATGAAATTTCCTCCCTCCTAATTATTCCACAGACAACTGTGAGCTGTGTTAAGGAATAGCAGCAAATCAGCCACAAGATGGTAAACCACGTAAACTGACAAAGCAGGGTCAGCAGATGCTAAAGAGCATAGTGAAAAGAGGTTGCCCACTTTCTGCAGAGTCAATCACTGCACACCTCCAAACTTCATCTGACCTTAAGATTAGCCAAGAACAGCATGCAAATCTTTAATGTAATTGCTTTTGAAGGCTAAGCAGCAGCATCCAAGTCGTACATCACCAAGTGCAATGCGAAGCGCCAGATGCAGTGGTGTTAAGCATAAATTAGAGCGGAGACAGAGAGCCAGACCTTCACCTCCAACTTCCCCTTACAAACTTACATTTCAGCAGGTTGGATAACTTGTCTGGTGTGAGCGGCTTGTTTGCAAGTGCCATGGAGTGGCTATTGCCTGTTCCATTGAACATCCCTGATACAAGTGGCTGAAATGAGCTTTCTCTGCAGGGTGGCAGGGCACTCCCTTAGAGATGAGATGAGGAGCTCAGGAAAAGCTCAGAGTAGAGCCGCTTCTCCTCCAGGAATCAGCTTTGGTGGCTTGGGCCTCTTTTTCGGATGCCCCCCCTGGATGCCTCCCTCATGAGGGGTTTTCAGGCATGTCCCACCTGGAGGAGGTCAAGGGGATGACCCAGTACATTCTGGAGGGACTATGTCTCTCGGCTGGCCTGGGAGCACCTCAAGCTTCCCCAGCAGAGTTGGAGAAGATGTCTGCGGATAGGGAAGCCTTGGAGTCTACTGTGACTGCTGCCCACATGACCCAGTTCCGGATGAAGCAAAAGACAAGTACAAATACGATTACTGTCTACACTCATATACTGACTGGGTACCTAATGGATACCCGTTGCCCTTGCTTTTTTGATGTTTACTTTTGTTGTCTTTTGTTTTCCCTTTGCTTTTGTTTTGTTCTGTTTTCTTTTCCTCTTTTCTCATGCGGGTGTGGAAGCGACTTCTAGGAACCACATTGTTTATATTTGCCATTTTATTCTGTTGTTTTGATTTCTCTATTTTCTATTTGCTCCTCTCTCTTTTTTGTCTTGAGTCTATCTATCTCCCGTTGATTCTTATCCCCTGTCCCTTTCTCACGATCCTTTCCATCCATATCTTACTTTTCCAAAAGTTAAAATTAAATTATATGGGGTTTAGATCTTTTATTACCAATATCTGTGTATTCACTTGGATAACTTAGATCTTAATAAACAACAACATACGTAAGTTGGGATGATCTGGTAATGATTCGTTTTAAGGTCATTATCCGGGTTAGGGCACAGAAAGGGTTGAAAAAGTTAGAAAATCACTGTGGGCCAATTGAAATAAACACATTGTCCTCACTACACATAGGAAGATTAGGATGTATGTATGTGTGTGTGTCGGGATGGGCTGGGGTGGGGTGGTGTAAGGGGATTTTTATAAAGAGTGTTTGCCTAAAAGCATAACAACATTACATTGTTGAACTTCATATAAAGTTTTCAATAACTACAGAGAGGTCATTTCTTTGTCAGCTTCTTTGCACGTACTTTTGAAAGAGTCATTATTCTAGTCTGATTACACTCTAAATATGACAACAAAGTCACTAATTTGTCAACACACCTTCTGGTTTTAGACATTTCCACTAAGTTTTAATAGGTGTAGAAGAGGTAATGGAATTAGATAGAAAGAGCTACTCCATTATTTTGTCTGAATTGTAGAGACCATATATAAAGAACAAATCGAGAGGAAACAAAAAACAGAAAATAAAAAAAAGCATATGAAATATACCGCAAAATGCTAGAAAAAAATAATTTCAAAGATTTAAAAAAAGAGCATCCCTTGCAGTTCGATGACTCGATGCAATCACCTGGTTTTAATTGACAGAAATGTTTAATCAATTGGACTGAATTGTCTCTGTAAAGTATCTTGAGATGGCAAGTGTTGTGAATTGGCTCTATATAAATAAACTGAATTGAATTGATTCAGATATATTCTTTTAGAGTTGCATCAATCGCTGACAAAAGTTGGAATAAGGGTTTTAAAGAAATTAACCAAATTTCTTGTTGGCTAAGAAAATAAATACATCACTTTCCTAATGAAAACAATATTTTTATTTGTGTTTACATACCATCCTATTTACACAAACAAATACATGAGAAAGGGAACTACTGAAGATTGTAATAATGGATTGTGGCAAGTACAGCTATAATTGATGAGAATACAGTTTTTCAAATACAAAATACACACAAATACAGTAAAAAGCCCTCAGGATAGCCAACATTCATGCACAAGAGTGTTATCCTTTGGCTTACAGAAGATACTACACAGAATAAGGCATACAAACTGCTGCTAAAGTTAGAAAAAAACTAATGTCTCAGAGTACTAAGTTAAAGGCAGTCCAATATTAGTGTTCCTTAAGTACTTTGACTCACTGCTTCAAGATATCCAGTGACCGTGATTGCTGCATTATCCCTACATAAACACAAAAACAGCTAAGTACTGTACAGGTGTATTATGGTCCCTCCCCACATTTTCTATGTTCTTTAACAAGATCAAGTGCAAAAGCTGGGATGGGGAAAAATACGAAATTTTATGCAGGCAGTGAAAAGCAGGAATGATTTATGTTGGCATAATAAATTAATGGGAAGGAAAGAATGAAACAATTAATGACCACAGTCAAAAATTTGATTAAACTAACAGGGATAAATAACTGTGATTTGAGAGGATAATTATAAATAACACTAAATTCTTTCAAAAACAAACATCACTTGCAGAGAGAAATATACTGCTTGAATAATTTTTTGGGTGTCAAAAAGCGTTAATGATTTTTTATGGACTGTCCTATATCAGAAAAAAAAACAGTACACAGCAATAAAAAAGTTTCATATTTAAACAGGTTAGATAAATAAAGGCATAAAGAGTAAAGCAATCGGGACAATAAAAAAAAAAAAAAATAAACAATCTGTTTATGTTTAGGCACAACCTTCCCGTTTTTAATGCTTTCTTTCATTCATAGATGGGAGAACAGTGTCTTTAAGAGTCATCCTCTGTTTTAATAATGTGAAAAAGTGTGACATTAAACAGAACCTGGTGGCCATTATTCCAGCCATAAAGAGCACGATCCCTTGCATTGTAGTCCAGCATGGACATATGGAAGTACTGGTTATGGAAGGGAATGTCTGTATACTCATATGTGGATGTTTTAGTTGAGTAGGCATAGTACACTTTTGCCCCAGTCAGGTGAGAGTTGGTAATGTAGAGAGTCCCACAGATCATGAAAGACTCACCCGCATTCCTCTTGGAGTATTCTGTGTTCCATGTGTCAAGGATCTGGAGGGTGTCTGGGTTTAGCCGGCTAATGACAATGTTCCCAGCATTCTGGTTGGTTGCATACACAGCCCACAGACCCAACTCATCAGCCATCAGGTCAATGTCTGAAAAGCCTCCCCATGTGTATGGGTACACATTATGGAAGCCTGCTGACTCCAGTGCCCTCTGTGTTATAACACGGCCGGTCTCAAAGCTGTACCTGACAATGATGTTGCTTTGCATCTTGTTGTAGTACAGAGATCCGTTGTAGACCACGTGGTTGGTTCCCGCCCATTTGAAAGGCAAGTTGTAGGTTCTAGATTCAACTCCTGCCACAAAGTCATGGATGGATTTGTATTCTTTCACTATCTTATTGTTGGTGTAGCTGTCCAGGTACCAAACCTGCAGATAGATATAGAAAAAACCCTCTTATAATGCTTACAATTGGAAACATAAGGGTGGTTACAATTGAGATATTTCTTACAAGACATATTTTTGAAAATATATTTTTTGATGGATTTAGCCATGTATTGTAAAACCTAGAAACCAACCTTTTCATATGTCAGCCATTTTGTATTCATAAGTCAAATTTTTTACACTTAGGCAGAAAAAGAAATATTGATTCCTTCAGTTTTTGAATTTCTATAAAGCTGTAAAATGTTTTTTTACAGTGTCTTATAAAGTGTGCAAATTCCTTGTACCTTTATGGTGCATTCACATAAAATGTTTTTTCAGTGTCGAAAAGGTATACAAAACCTCAGATTGGATGCATGGGCATTTTAATGTCAAACGCTCTAAAAACTGGACACTGGATGCTGTGGATGCTGTATGATCTGGGCACTGGATATTCAATGCTCCAAATACTTGGTGCGGCAGGCATTGAGCTGCTGTTCTTTTCCTTGTAACAGAGAGTTGCTTGGACTTATTTACTTTGATTTGTTGGGGTAAAAAAGTAGTTTTAACATGTTGTTAAGCTAGGAAGCAGATGTCACAACATAATCTGTACAGTCAGTTTTAGACTTAGACAAATTTTATTGTCACAGAGTGTAGACAAAAACAAAATTTCATTTTGTACAGCTCTCAAGACATTTCTATTTCTATTAGGATTAAAGAATGATCCTATTTAAATATTCTGTTCTTGTTCAGAGTGAAGGACGCCACATACCAGCAAAAGACAGTGTTTGGAATCCTCATTGAAAGCTCTCTAAAGCCAGCCAGGTTGTCTGAGATTTCCTGCTGCTTGACGTAGAGGCAGAATGTTCATATAAAGTGTTTTATAGGTTTTTGGTGAAAAGTGCAGGTACCAGAATGCTGCATAAGTCGCCTTTCCTGACACTTACTGTAAGTCATGGACACTACTCTTAGACTTTGCATGTAAACCAGATGCCCTGACACTTAAAACATGTTTGATGTGAACATACCATTAGGTACTTTGCTGCATTTCAACAACCTTGGTGTGATTTGCCTTTATTATTTTATGATAATCTAACATAAATACCTACAACTGGATTCAAGCCTATACCTATGTAGTGTAACCAGTTGTCTTCAGAAATCCACCAACTGCTAAATTACACACTGATTGACTCTATCGTCAGTTGCCTTTACTTTAAGTATACATCCCTCAGAAAGGTTTGTTGGAGAACATCAGTGAACAAAGAAGCATTATTAAGATCAACACAGAGAGCAGATAGGTCAGGTGGATTGTTGTTGAGTGGTTAAATCAGATTAACCTTACTCAGAGAAGCAGCTAATATGCCAGTGATAACTGTGGGGGTGGTGCAGAGATCCACATTGGGAAAATTTGGTAACCGTATTGAGGTTTCCCAAAGCCCACAACCATCACTTTAGAAAAGAGCTAACATTTTGATGTAAAAGTTACAACCTGAAAAAGGAAGAAAAGCAAGAGGCGGGAAAACACTATGTCTTTCTAAAATAGGGAAAGCATTGATGTAATGATCACCAATGCCCTTTAATCTCAAGAGTTTACAGATATGTTATAAATTGAGTGAAATTGACCTTCCACACCTGAATCAAATCACTGAATTATCTCCTCAGTGTGCATTTAATTTATTCAAAGTCCTGCTACTGACCTAATTATTTGACTCAGATGTCTTTAAGCTGAAACATATTTAAAGGTGCAGAATATCAGCCCTCAAGGTCATAACTGAGGAAGCCCTGTCTAAAGTAATATATGACCTACTGCTGGTGTCTTTGTAGATAAAGTATGGCCTGACAAATTGTTTATTCCCTTGTAAACATGCATATTTGACCTTTATTTGCCACTGTAAAATTAGTTTATATCAGTATTAATAAGTTTAAAATCCTAAACTAAACAGTGCCGCTGTAAACACAGTAGCAAGAAGTTGCTTATCTTGTTCAAATGACACCTGTTATGTGGGACAAGGTGAAATCAGGTGGGCACTTAATAAAAATAAAAACACACAATAAAATTAACTACTCCCCGAAAAAGTATGGCTTCGTGATTTGATTTGTTGTCTGAGGACAAAACTGCAAAGTCTCCCATTTTTTATATGTCAAGGTTGAGGTATGCATAACATGCTGGTGTGTTAAGTAAAGACACAAATAAAAAAATCAATGCAACAAATGTTGAAACATGGAAACAATGCATATTTGGTTTGATCTTGAAAGTAATTACAGTACATTGCTGTCTTCTGAACATCCAGAATAAACCTGCTGTAATAAACCTGCCTTCCAGCATCGCTTGGATCAGGATTTTTTTTGAGGCGTCATAATGGCACACACCACAAAATGGCACATAAGGATATTATTTTCCTCATCACAGCTAGTCTCTGTCTAATAAAGCCATTTTTATATTATACTTTATTTTTGCAGCAATGTGAACCTTTAATTTCTTGTGAACCTTTAAACTAAAAGTATAATTCTACATTATTATTTTAACTAATTAGAAAGAGTTGGACTACTGTGCCACTGAGGAGATTTCAGATTTTAAACTTGACACCTACTTTTTTTGTATTATCTATGTGATTTTATGTCAACAATTGATATCCTGTGCATCCAACAGTCCAGACAGTGATGTTGCATCTGCATGATGAATTGAAAGACTTAGAAACATTAAAACCAAAACCTCAGAACATAGGAAATTTAACATATGATGTCATGGTGGAGGTTCTATAGAGCGAACATAGAACCAAAAGCAGACAGGTAGGGAGATGGTTCGGTGAGTATAATAGATTTCTTTTCTGTAGAGCGGCGTGGCATTGCATAAAAACAATATTCTCCCATGACGAGTGAACCAAACAAAACCTACTAAATAGCACATAGAGTGGAAGAAAACAACACACTAATCACGAGACCTTAGTGGAGATATTACTAATTAGGTTATAGACATATCATTTTAACTACACAGAAACATATTACACACCAGAAAAATTATCTTTAAATATAGCCAAAGCAAATTATAAAAAAAAAAAAATGCAGTAGTAAAACAAAAATACACATACCAAAAACCATGACTAATGGAACACGGACAGCAACAGTAAAAGCAACATAGAAGAAACAGGTATGGAAAAGTTAGGATCCAGCAGGAAACGGTGGCTTACATTGACTTTATACTGAGGGAAGTCAAAAATATGACAGTGAAAACCTTTCTGTTAGTAAGAGGAAATAAGGACCGGCTGGGCCAGAGGATAAGGATAGAGGTTGAGGATGGAAGACTAATTAACACAGATGAGCTAAACAAAGGCATACAGGTATAGAAAAGGGACATACACTATTGGGAATAAAATGGAATACATAGGAAACTAAATACAGGAATAAACTGCGATAGACAACAGAAAGGAGTAAACCTAGTATGTGGCAACGCCTTACAGTATAAAAGCAGCAATGTTAGCAGAGTATGGGAAAACCATCTAGCACAAAGTAAACCACATGGACAACATGACAACCAATAAAGAAAGAGAACCCTACTACAAAAGGATCATAGCATGCATATCAACTTACTCTGTTGTTTTTTGGAGAAGCTACTGGATCAGTCATCCAAGCACCAAATCTGGTCCCTGACGTCTTTACTGTCTGTGGCCCAGTGATCTTCATCAGCTTGCCACATGCTGAAAACATATCACAGTCAATTGTGATTTCTTGTTATGACTGGGACACAACTCAAAGTCCTGGCAGCAACAAAAGAGTGAATCCTAGATATCTTCTGGGCACTGCCAACACAGCAGCCCGCATTTCTAAAGAAATACAAGGACAAGGTAACACAAAATGTGCTGTAGTAACTACACCCTGTCTGTCTGGACCCAGGCAAACATTTGCCTTTAAGGACTTACTAGAGTAGATGCTCTGAGTTGTACAGAATTCCATGTGGCTAGATACTAATCCTTCTAAATGCACAAAGGCAACACTTGTACATATCCCACCCTATTTTTTTTTATTCTAATTAAGTGGTTTTTAACAAACAACCACACACTTAAGTCCCGAATTAGCAAAATGTTATTTTTTAATCTTTAACACATTTTCTGTTAAGATACGCTAATTAGTTATTTATCTCAAAACTAAAACATGCCTCGTCCCAACCAAAATATCAATGGTGAAAAATTGTTTATCTGCTTTTGCGAGCTTTCAAACAAAGGACAAGGCTGCTCTGGAGGCAGAACTGATGTCATAAGCTCAGTTAAATCTGAGCGGCTGGAGAAATATAATCATATATTCTTATGAATCAGCTGCAAAACTAAAAAAAAGAGTTATACTCTTAAGCAACATTTTATTTTCTTCACTTGGAATAAAACTGGGATTTTCATGTCATTTTAAATGCTATGAAAAAAGCTTAAAAAATTTGACAGTGAAGAAAATGCCCTGTGACTCCAAACGAGGCTTTTCTCAATCAATTTAACTCTTTTTGACTCTGGTTGTAGATTGGCCTTCAGGTTAGAAAGCCAATCTGCTTGCACCAACAGGAAATGTGCCAGTTATGTTGTTTGTTTTTGTCATTGATCTGAAAGACTCACTGAGTTTGTTCATACAGCTGTGGAGCCTGTTCTCCAAGTTCAGGACTCTCTGCTGCAGCTCCTCATAGTCATAGGCACCCATTTCTTCCTGGATTCCCATTAACACACTGGACAGGTTTCTGATCTCTTCTTTGAACAGGGAGATTAGCTTGGCATCTGTCTTGTACTGCTCCAGGACGGGGATAAGTGGCTGCAGGGATTCCATCTTCCCCTTCAGCTCCTGAAATTGTATTAAAGCAAAGAACTAAATAGTCTTTATTAATTTCGTTAGAACTGTACCCTAACCCTTTTTTTAAATGTGTTTTTATGCTTATCTGTTTTATTTTGTATAAAAGGCTAATTTTAGCATATTTCTTGTCAAATCCAATTGAAAATTAAGCAAATGTTTAGAAACTTTAATTTCCAAGTATACGATATATCTAACATAGAACCAAGATATAAGGAAACTAAGGGCCATCCTACAGCTAATAGTTCTATTCCATTAAGATGGACCTGCTTTAAATTGCTTTGAGTTAATTCAGGTAGAATCTAAATTATAGTGCTATTGTTGTCATAGTTATGTTAACAGATGCGTTTCTGCTACCAATTTGGTTCCTTCTAACGCTTGAATCTGAGCTGGTTTCATATTTATACACAATATAACTGCAGATTGATTTTGAATAGGTCGATGCAGTAATAAAACGTTTCATATTTTGCTTTTTTACAACCCTAAACTTTGGAGTTTCATAAACCAGTACAGTACAAGTTGTGCATTATTGTGAAGTGAAAGAACAAATTAGACATGGTTTTCAAACTCTATTGAAAGTAAAACTCTAAAAAGTGTGTTCTGTCATTTCATTTGGATGATTTCTGTGATCCAAATCTGAAAGTCAAGAAGATAAGCTTGTTTTGTGCTCTCAAATTGTACCTGAATGTTCCTCTTACTCCTGCTGTCCACCACCTCGCACCAGCATAAGCTATTGCTGTACTTGTGCAGCTTATCATGGTGACACTGTGTGTTTTCCACCTTTGAAAATAAAAATCCTAAAGCCATCCATATCTCTGATTGTGCACTGGCAATATTCATGTAACAACAAATCTTATAAAGGTTATATTAAAGGTTGCATTATATACTGAATATGATACAAGGCATTTAATAATCATATAAATTCTTAGTGGACATTATATAGTGTACAAACTATGTGAACTTGTGCTATTGTACCAATAAGTTCATATTTTTTTCTCCAGACGATGTTCTTCAAATACGTTCTAAAAATTGCATCACACTTTTGTTAAAATCTAAAGCACAGCATAACATAAAGCACAATAAGAACAAAAATTGTGATGTGAGACCCACTTATTAATTTTGTGTGTCTGCTTCTGTCTTCTTTGAACCCTAATGGCTCTTGGCAAAGGCTTCTAACACTGAGCCTGGTTCTGCTGTTGGTTTCTTCCTGTTAGAAGACAGCTTTTCCTCCCCATTGTCACTGCATGAATGCTCAGTGTAAGAGATGGTAGCAAAGTTAACGACACGATTCAGGCGAATGTCTGCTGTGGTGACATAATCATCCAGGAGCGAATCCTGCAAACTCAATGATTTAATTAAATCAGCTAGTTTTCTGTGGATAGAAAACTTTAAGCCAGTCTGTCTGTATGATTTTGATTGAATTGTGTTTGAAGAGTTGATGGGTGATTTCAATTGGCACTATATAGGTAAAACATCTATAGGTAATATAACTAAAACATGACTTTAAGTGTAATCTTTCAGCCTGAAGGCAAGAAATAATCCAGTTGAACAATGCCCCTTTTCCTGCTAAGAAAAAGCCTTGCCTTGGCATGATGCGATTCCAATCAAGTGGGTATGGTGTGTTAAAGGTAATGTGCAGTCTCAATTTTCCTCCAGAAATAGCAAGCAGGCAAGAAAGGTCAGTTTTATTCTTATCAAACCCTAGCACCACAGTTGCTATCATCTTTATCAGTTGTGGGCATATCATACAGTGAGGTCCACTAGTGGGCCTTATAAGAATATTATGAGAAAGTAGAATTGTAATGCACCACCCTTGAAGAATTTTTGCCAACCATATGTTACTTTCAAGTAATCCTTTCCCATTGCAGTATTTCACACAGAAATATTTCAACCGCAATTTGGATTTGATACATTGTGAGGCTTTGCATGCTTGTCAAGCCTCCATAAAGGCTACTTTTGTCCTTTTGGCAGATTTTCTTTCTGTACCTGAGCATTAAATCTCTACTGCATCTCCAGACTTAGCTTTAGCCTCATGAATACTTCTTTGGCTATTGATTTGTGAGGTAACTTCTACATGTAAATGGCTGATATTAGAGTACAGGTTGTGATGAGAAATAAATTCAGTTTAAATTCTTCCGCTATTCTGCTTATTTTGAGTTGGTCTGTCACCTAAAACTGCATCTAGATAATTGAAATTTGTGACAATAATAATGCGACAGGATATAAACTTTTTTTTTAATACTGCTCATGACCCCTATAAGGCCAGACTCACCATATGAAAAAGTGTTGCACCATGTAGTAATGGTAAAATAAACTGGTAGGAACTTGGACAAAAGTTGCAACAGCAAGGTGACCTAATAGATAGAAGGTATTTAGTTAGTAATTTCCAGCTCTAGGGATCTGCTCTCCTTAGTCAGCTTTGTAAAACATTCTTTGCCCTTTTATAGATCAAACGAATCAAAACATTTTCAGGTTAATTGCTGTAGTCAAACTGTGTCTCACGTTCTTGTTTGGCCAGAGGTGAACCTTTTATGATCTTTTTAAGGATGCAACTTAATGTGCTCTCTTGCATATCAGGTTTTTTTTTTTAGCAAAATTGCTTTAAGATGTTTCTCACACAGTTTAAGATCAAACAAAAAATATACCTGAAAGTTTTTGTTGGCGACGGTCTTCCTGTCTGACTCGATCTGCCGGAACTTTGACCGCAACCCTTTGATCTGGCTCTCCATCCTCATGATGTACTGAAAGTCTCTTTGAGTCCGAAGATTCAGCACCTCAATTGACTGTGACATGTTCTGTACCTTTTGAAAAGAATCAGATGGTGCAGCATTGATTTTCTTGTCCTCCATCAGATTAAATTGTCCTTCTTCTTCAGGTGTTTAGAAACTTTCTTGGCTTTACTTTCTTTGAAACAAATCAACACTTTAACCACCACTATGGCAGCATTACATAAGCTAACAGAATATACTTTTAGATGTACAAGTGAAATGAGATTTGCAAACACTGTAAAAAAGCAGAACAACGCCAGTTAGATAGTTCCCTCATTTGACAATAAAAGAAGCTAAACTTTAATATTTGCTGTCAGAATTATATTTTTTGCTATTTGTTTTATTATTCTCCTCAATTGTGTATGTGGGTGTGTGTGTGGTCATGTCTTTGTTACATGTGGGGAAATTTCCCAGGGATATGCTACATTTTAGGGACTTATAGGTACTTGTGAGGACCAATGACAGGTCCCCATGAGGAGAAGTTCTGTTCATGGGGTGGGGGTAAGGTTTAGAACTAAGGTTTGAATTGATTTTAGGTCAAGTTTAGGGTTAGGTATGTGTTGGTAATGGTTAGGTGTAGGTCAGGTATCACGGTTAGACCATAGAATTAGTGGGAAATAAATGGAGGTCAATTGTGATAGTGGGGGGCACTAATCTGTAACATGCCTCTGCTATTGATTCATATTATTATTCATATTATTTACACATGCATGAGGGCGTGCATGCAGCAGGGGGATCTGATGTTAGCACCACCCTATATACAAACCCACAGTGGATGGCTTCCCATGTCACCCACGCCAGGAACCGCCACTGATCAGACCACGGGACATGTCTCAAAAATTTAATTTCATTGTTGCTTAATGCATTTGCAAAAAAAAAAACAATCCCTAAGATGCAGTCAAACCCATGCCAGTACAAAGAATTTTTTTTATTACATTTTTACCAGTATTATAAACACCTTTTATGGTTATTTTAGGGTTCAATTTCACATTTTACACCCAAATACCCTTATCCATAAGACACAGAGTGAAACTTGATGTAATTTGACGTGAATTTCTTCGTAACTTCACTCAAGGAGGGTCTTTAAAATCAGCATAAAGTTACATTCAAAGTACATTGACAGAACTCAATACACTACTGTAAATGTAGCATCAAACAAAAGGAAATTATCAGCTGTCAATTGTCAGATAGCATCAAAAGGTCTCCAGAATATGAATATATTTGATTTATGTAAATATCTGATCTAATTTGTGTTTTACATGTATTAAGAAGAATTATACCAAATTATTTTATACCCTGTTAAGTAAAATGTTTTCTACTTCTATTGTGCTGCCTTTCTGCTGATTTTTTCAGGAATTGAGAAAAAAAAATACTACAGCTAAATGAGCTTATTTTAGAAAAGAAATGGCATACAGGGGCCCTTTTCTGTTTTAAAAAATGCTTTCTAGGTTTGTAGGGCACATTGACAATAAAGTATGCCATCTTTTCTTCTCCCTCTTTGGCTCTAATTGTAATAAAGCCAACATTAGCCGAGCGCATCAGAGGCAATGCGGCACAACCTTCATACACTGTGTTCTACCCTGACTTGGATACAGGGACACTGAAAAGGCCTTTCGGAAGCCCTGAGGCAGCTTAGTGCATTAGCGTTAGAAGCCCTAGCAAATAAAAGGGAGCTTGCATTGGCTAACAGTGTTTAAATTTAGGCAATATTGGAATAAAGAGTCACTTAGAAAAAAAATATGACAGTGCTTTGATTTTGGTGGTAGATGTAGAAAGCATAAATTACAAGGGAAAACCTAATATTAAAGTTACACGATCATATTTAGTTTGTTAATAATTTAAATAATGTACAGATAAAAACTTAGAAAATGACAGAAGTAAAATTTTAAATTAATAGCATCAATGTAAAAGTGCAGTGTGTAATAATTACAGGGATTTACTGACATATATGTCATATGTTATCTATGTGCTTGTCATTTTGTATCACCTATGAACTGAAAGTCATAGTTAGTCTTGCGTTAGAAATTGCTATTTATATTTATAAATAACATAGACTGTTCACATTCACGGAGGCAGACATCTTTTGTGCTACGGCAGTGCAGAGCAGACAAACTAGTATCTGTGGAGATTGCCATTATAATGGAACTGTGGCAAGTTAAACCTATACACAATCCTACACAGAATAATAAAATACTATAATATACAATAAAATCAATGTAAACTAGACTTACAACCATTGATGATTTAAAAAACAACAAAACATTTCAGACTCATTTTGTCAAGGGCTACTATGATTGTATTTATTTTGTCTACATGTATTTTTTATGCTGCTGTTTTGTAGTTTATGCCTCATGCTATGATTGTATTTATTTTTCCGATACATATTTTACTATATGGTGCTGCTTTTTATTTTATGCTTCATATTGTACAGCACCTTGTGATGCTTGTCTCAGAAAGGTGCAAAATATATATATAAAAAACTACTTACTTTCTTGCTTGTATACAACCAACAACTATTATGAAGACGACTAATTTCAAAAGTCGGTGGTTGTATTTTTGATGAGTATTTTTTTTTCTTTGCATCTTTCCCCTGCCCTCAGTCCGTGATGTTTTGGTCAGAGGGCCCAAAACAGGGGTACAAATCATCTAGACAACAGAGGTAAGGGTATCTGGCGTTTCTGAGCTTAGGCAGGAGCAGCAGGGAATCGGTGTGATAAAACCGGAAGAGAGATCTCCATAACTGGCACAAGCGGGCCAGTTAGGCTACCCTCTGGAGCAGTAGAGGCGGCTTCTTAGGATGAAATGACTCCAAGTGAGAATTAAGTTAAAACAATTAAACGGGGCCCATTTAACACAATATCGCTTTCTTCAAAAAGTTTATTAGCTAATGACTTGATCTATGAAAATCAAATTAATCTACGTTGTCCTTCAGAAACCTGGCTGCAACATGTATTAGAATAAATGAGGCAACTCCCTCCAGCTGTTCAAATTTTTATATGCCCAGAAATTCTGGGCAATTCTGAGCAGTGATAGCAATCTTTCAGTCTGACTTACAGTATTGGTTAGTCCAAGGCCAGTTGATAACTAGAAGTCTGTTTAATATTCAGTTTTCCCCATCCAAATTATAAAACAACAAAATGTCTTCTGTTTTTAAGACTACCTATCTCATAGAGTCTTAAATACTGACAAGGTCATTATAGTGAGGGATTTTAACATGTATGCCCACATTGATGGTGATAACTTAAATACAGCATTTAAAGCTATCTTAGTTTTGATTGGCTTTGTTCAAATGTGCCTAATTCCACTATGCACATCTTTATTTGTTGGACATTGTTCTGACATAATGCATTGAATTGAAAAAATAACAGTATTTCCTCACATCCGTGTAGAGTTGTCTTCCCCCAAAGAAGATTTTACTAACAGATCAATGTCTGATGGTTCAGTAAAAAATTCTAAAGAATCTGCTCCACATTTTATCACCATTGTATCACCGGACAATACGACAAAGGACAAAAATTACAGTAAATGCATTCCCTTTCACAAATGAATGATTTTGTTGATGGGGTTACTTCTTCTATGCATTAGACAATGTATAAAAATAGGAGGCTGGCTCCTAAGTTTAATAAAGATCTGCGCACTTTGAAGCATATATGCTAAGAAACTGAAGAGAAAATGCGCTCTACATGCCGACAGAAATTCTACCTAATCTGGAAAAACAGTCAGCTGTTGTGTAAAATAACCCTTAATAAAACAAGGGCAACAACTCCACTGGAGACCATCCACCATCTAATCAGCATACCCAGGCATTGTAAGGAGTTGATACAGCCACATATAATACTGAACCTCAATTGAACCTGTCCTAAAGACACCACATCAGTTGGTTCAGTCTGTAATGTGTTTTTCCAGTATTATTTTGTGTGTGACACAAAAATCCAGGCCTCCATTGGTTAATAAATTTGATTTCCATCAATTTGTGTGATTTTCTTTTTCAGCACATTCAACTTTGTGCACATTCAGTGAGAATATTTAATTCATTTAGATCTGGGATGTGTTATTTGAGTGTTCCCTTTATTTATTTTTTTGAGCAGTGAATCATTAAACTGAAGTCCTATGCTCAAACTTGTACAAAAGGAGCAATAAAATAACTTCTGCCCAATTTATTTTTCTTTTACTTTTTTTTTGTTGTTGTTTTTTTACAGCGCACCTGATTTGCATTAATGCCTGATTAGGAGGCTTTTGCCTAACTGCAGTGTGTTAGAGAGAGAAATTATGTAAAGCTTTGGGCACTGGATTTACACAATAAAATGTGGTTTTCTCTCTCCCTGTAAGAGGTCAATATTTGCCCTAGTCTGAGGTGTGAATGTCTCTCAGTATCCCTTACAAAATAATAGTAATGTGGTAAAGGAGTAATAGTGATAGTAAGTAATAGTAAAGAAACTGTTCCTGCAACACATTTACAGATATGCAGAAGAGAATGGATGGACAGTCAGACTGAATGATGGATGAAAGTACCTGATAAATAAAGCATTACATTTTATATAGTTGTAACCACTATAATTATTTAGCTTTTTATTTTGCTTTCCTTTTTACCAGAAAAGCTTTAAATCTTCCATTCTTAGCATTGTTTCACACAGGAAATCCATTATTGGTGAAGCACTATCTTCCCCCATTTTCAGTGTAAACAATTACCAGTGACTTTATAAATAATGACCTAAAGAAAATGTGACAAAGGTTTTAAAGTGTCGTCATTAACTAAAACACTCTCAGGAGTTCAAAGATGGTAAAAGGACCAACTAATAAGGATTAGTTAGCTCCTTCATGTAAGATATTCACCCCTTTTCTCTTTTAACAGAACATTACTTCAGAGATCTTCAAGTATTCCTTTAAGAAGGGAATTTAATAATCTCCATTGGATGCACAACTGGGACAGTTCAGCTCTGCATAGCTAGGATGGAGAGCAAATTCATCTTCCCATCTTTTTAACTGATATTGTCCATGCAGTGGATGAAGAGATAGAATCAGGCATTGTAAATCTGACTGGTACAATCTACCTGAGGATTACAGTAACGAAAGGTGAGGATTGTCAATGGAATTTGCATGCACTGCGGTGGTGTGTGTGCGTGTACAGAATGTGGGGAAGTTTGTGTGTGTATGCTCATGCCTTTTCCAGGAGCTGGCGGAGCTGCCTGCCTTTGGCATCTCTGGAGCAAAGATTCTGTTCAGGTGCCACCACTGTGCATATACAGCGCCCATCTGCATCCTGAGCTGAGCTGTACACCTGCCAACCCTCCTTTGGCCTGATAGTCTGCACACAAACATGAAAAGCATACATTTTATGTCCTTAAATTTGTGCACACAAAGAGTATTATGAAAGTAGCACATACAGTACTATAGCTGTTTTGTGCCAATATCTTTTTTTACCCTTTGTGGCTTTTTTCATCCACCTGCCTATTTCTCAAGAGCTTTGAGGAGAACCCATTCCACAAATTTATTGAAAGTCTAGTGTTTTGAAGAGCAAATTATTTTGGTTTATGATATGCTTTGTGTGTATTGTCTTATCTGAATTGCCTCATCAATGATAAACAGTATTTCTTAGCCTTGATCAATATCACAACTGTTAGAATTTCTCTGTTCTCTTATCCTCTTCAATGACATATAACTGGGAGAAACATAAGTTCTAGTATTTTCCTGTTTTATTGACAAACAATATGCTTTGCATAATTATTTAAATCCTAAAAACATTTTCTAAGCCTTAAAATATCCAGCACTGCACCAGTGTCTAATTACCAGAGTTTCTTCCCAGTACAGAAAAAAAATGTGGGGAAATGTGATCTAAGGTTTGGGTATTTAACAAATCCTGGATGATAATGAGAAAAGAAAATTATGCTTTTTCCAGACTTATCTTTCTTAGACTAGTGACCAGAATTCAAATGATAGTCCCTAGTGTTGGAATTAAAGATAACTCTCAGGCCTAAATCTGCTTCTTACCGTCAGCATGTGCAGAAGAACTTTAATTATGATGGTAAATTTGTCCCAGCTATTAGACTTTTTGACAGGCAACTAGTTTCTGTTTGAAATGTGTTCAACATAATGAAAATGAAGCCCTGAGGGGGGATACAGCACAATCCATGTGCTTTACTCAGAAGCCTATTGATTTAAATAAACGTTGAGTGCCCTGATTTTTTTATTTTAACCATCATTTCACTCTCCTATTTATCCCAGTCTGTCTGCTTGGGCAGTGTGAAAAAACATTTGGCAGAGAGCACAAAGAACACATCACCTCTGAGAAAGCAAAGACTTGGATCCAGTGAAATAGTTCAAACTCTAACTCATCCCTTCACCCAGCAACAAGAGGCTTTTTATCTCAATGTATTAAAGTGCTAACATCAAATGCATTGCTAAAATAGTAGCTATGGTAACATTAACATATGTTTTTAACCAATCACTTTTTCCAGTGTTATTTCAATTTTAGGGTTAGGGCCAGAAAGAGTGTTAACTACAGTTTAACATGTAAGTAACACTCTTAATTACAGCTTCTATGCTAAATGTGTACAAGTTAGTAAAATGATACATTTAGGAGAAAAAAAAGGTAAATTTTAACACCTGATAAGTAGTGTTGCACCGATACCGATACCAGTATCGGACGGGGCCCCGATACTGCCCTAAAATGGTGGTATCGGTATCGGCGAGTACCAACAAATAGGGCACCGATACCATTTTGAGAGCCATAAGTTTATTCAACTGTTGTCACCCACTCCTGGTAGGCAATAAAAAGTTCTACTGGATTCACTTTGTATTAGATTTTCACAAAGGTAGGCAGCAGCTTGTCAAAGCCATGATTGCAGTTGTTTTACATTATTATGGTATCGGCCGATACTGCACAGCCAGGTATCGGGTATCGGTATCGGGACCAAAAGATGGCATCGGCGCAACACTACTCATAAGACCTCTAAGACAAAGTGGTGTCAGTAATCTGTTAAAAAGCCCTTTCTCCTCTCTAGTTACTCATATCCTTTCCTCAATTTTTTCCGTTCACATTTCCTCATTTAAACCATTCTGATGCTCAAATAAGCCAGATGTTCTCTCCACTTTAGTTTTTTTTTGTTTAAAAGCTAAAAACAAATATGTTTTTTTTTTTCTTTTTTTTTTTTTTTCTTTTGCTCCCTCATACAACAACTTGACAGCTGGTCTATCTTTGTTTTTAGTAGCCTAGTTATTATGAGTTTTTCACACCCCAACCTTCAGGAAGTATTTCTATAGTCAACAAATAACCCTCTCTTTCTGAGCAGCAGGACTCATGCAGACCAGATGCCAGTTGTGACATGGTGAGAATACTGCCTTGCAATCAAGACACTGGCAAAAAAAGGAGAATTGTCATTGGTGGATGGAACCTAATTGAACCCTGTTTTTTTTTTTTTTCCAAAAGGCTCTGTGATCAGCAAGCTGGTGGTTCTTTCTAGACTAGTTCAAAAATATTTTAGAATGTAGAAAACATACAAAAAGTAATAAGATAAGCCATTTATATGTACTGCAATGAAAAACAGAAACTGCATATGAGTGGAAATGTTATTTTTTTTGCAAGCATATGGTATTGAAAATGATGTCTAATCAGATTCTTTGTCACTGCTTTACAGTTAATGTAAAAAAAATAAAAACAAATCAATTATCTAAGTTTTTATATTTTTGTTAAAAAATGATTTTAAAAGAATCTCAGCATATATCATATTAACAATAATATTTACATAAATTTTTTTTATAATCACGATAGATAGATAGATAGATAGATAGATAGATAGATAGATAGATAGATAGATAGATAGATAGATAGATAGATAGATAGATAAAATAGTTTTATACAGTTAAAAAAAATACAAGAAAGGCAGTTCTCTAAAGTAAATCACGCATTTTATAAAAAAAATTAGGGTTTTGCGATGCTCCACCCAAAACAAATCAATGCCAAAACACATAAACTTCACACAAACAGGTAAGATAGTTCTGCTTGGGTTGAAATTATGTTAAGGGTCTAAATGTGAAGCACAAATTCGTACTGGTAACTCACCACAGTAGGACAATATCCGAACAGCAGCAGGAAGAGCAATGGATTCAGAACCACGGTCAGCGACCACATTCTGCAGCAGTTTCACCTCAACGGCCCCAGTTCACAAAGGATCTCAAGTTTTGTTTTGTTTATCTCTTTTTTTAAATTCGTGCACCTTGACCACCGCGTCCACTATTCTGGGGTAAAAACATAAACATCCAGGGAAGCCAGAGGAGGTCGGCACGTCCATTCACTCGTGCCCGTCACGCGTGGCACCCGGCTGAGATGGAGGAAACCTTGGCGAGGGGAAAAAAGTTTGTGCGGCGAAAAACAGAGTAAATCCTTCAGAAGACCCTACTCCACGGATGTGACATCATGCAGCCGCCTGGCTCGGCTTTAAATGAGCCCAACTTGCTTGAGTGAGGAGGATCCATCGGCAGCTGCGCAGCAACAAAAGTTGCAGCTGGCTGTATTCAGCGGAAAGTGGGAAGGTGCTGCTGAGATGCTGCTGCGTCTTTGTCACCGTGCGTTAATAGGGAGCTGAAGGATTGGCTGCTATATAAAAAGCTTACAAAATAACTCCTTTTAATATAAAAACTGTACAATGTAGCTTATATTAACAAATCATTGTTTTTCTAGGCTAACAGTCTATGAATCTCAATTTGACGAAACATGGCAAAAAATTTATGTTACCTGTGTTTTGCATAATACACAATGAGTATCATCAAATAACTAGGCTACATTTGAGTCTTGGATTTTGCCTGCTCCACCACTGACTTTTTTGGGACAAAATGGAAAAAATGGTGTTACAGAAGACTTCAATATGTCACTTTGAAGCATATAACAATCACATTTGAAACGCCCAATAATTTAGAAGAGTAAAACTTCTGGGTGCTTCTTTTATCTTCCCCAAATTTCACAAAGTTAATGGGTTACTGTTATTAAGTGCCTCTGTCATTTAGTTCTTAAGAAAAAAAAAGTAGTTATGGCAAATAAAAATAATCCCCCTCTGAGAAACCAGGGCTGAAATCAAAACAACTTTTTTTGTTTTTTTGTATGAAAATGTAATGTCATAAAATATTGAAATACAGGCAGCCTGAGTCAAAAAAGCTTTTAAATTGCAATATTGGATGCCAGCATTTTAGGTCTCCAAACTACCTCTCTTAGGAAACATTTTTCTTTACTCGTTCCTCATTGGATACTCCTCAATATAGTAAGTATTTCAAGTATTAACTAATATTTGAAAAGGGACTGCTGTTGCTGAATTTGTCTTAGTTGCCCATTGTATTATGTTTTCATGTTTGTTGTCAAGACATAATGTTCTTACCCTAAAGTAACTTTCAGCAGCATTCTGACACCTATGCCTCATTGTTTCCCATCTGTCTGTACATTTACTATGATACATAAGCACTAGAGAGGTGGTTGTTAACTTTGTTCTAAACAAATGTTATTAGTGAGAAATTGGCTGTTAAGTGCTTACAAAGAAACTTTGTTTCCTTAAACAGCGAATGTTTAAAGCTGTTTATTTCTACAGATACATACCACTGCAGAAGTTAGATTGCCATATTTCTTACTGCCTTGTCTAAGACCAAACAGAAGAATGTAAGGAAAATAGCTTTTTGTAACTTGACTGATCTGACCAGATTGAAACATGGGAAATGTTTCTGATTAGGCCGATCTCATTACTGCGTGGAGGGATTTAAAACCTGTCATATTACTGAAACTAATGACACAAAGCTTTTTGTGGTGCAGTGCAGTCATAGTGTGCCTGTCTGACTGAAGCCATTAGTCACATACTCTAATATGACACATTGTTTTCAAATAACCGAGACACGGTATTAAATAATGTGAGGGGCATTCATTGTGCATGCAAATAGAATTTATTGTTTGGGCAAAGCCGTTGTTCTGTCAGCGTGAGTGCTCAAGCTTTTTTCCCCCAGCAGATTTTTTTTTTAAAGATACCTCAGGCATTTTTTCCTGCTGTCAGAACAATAAATATTAGATTTTTTTTAGCTTCAGGAATTTAACATGTGTAAACTCCTTGAATTTGGACTGTTTATAGCTTCCTTTGTATTATGTGTATAATTTGATATAATATTAACTCTCTTTATTGTCACATTCTATTTGCACAATCACCAACAGTTTGTGTTATTCTTGGGACAAATTAACAGCAACATTTTAAGATCTAGCATCAACAACAATTTTCACTTTATTTCATAGAGATGTTGTGTAACATATTATCTAAAGCTAATGTACAAAGATAAAGTGGATTAAAATAGGGTAATGTTAAAAGTTTCAAATAAGAAAATTTAAATGGTTTTAAACCTCCTTTACTTTGATGTCCTTGAATAAAATCAATGGTACCTCCAGAGCCAACCAATAATAAACAGAGTCTATATATTGTACTTTAAGTTCAGCACTATACAGCACATCACTGAAGCCCCAGGAACTTTAAATCCCATTAATGAACAGATAGCATCAGACTGAGACACATGGTAGACAGGTCAGAGAGTGGTGGAGAAGTTTAAAGCAGGGTTAGGTTGTAAAAACATATAGCGAGCTTTGAACATCTCACAGAGCACTTATTCCATCACCTAATGGTGCGTTCAGACAGCAGGTGGTGAACCCTGGGATTCCTGCATGCCCCGCTCTGCATTTCACTCTGGACCGCATCATCAAATAGGAGGAGCTTTAGCTATGTGAAGCTCACACCCCGCTGACGTGAAAACAATCAGCAAATAGACTGAATGGCCATTGCTCCAGATTTATGCATTTTAAATGGTCAATAGTAAAAACAAAAAAATAAATAAAGATCATATGTGCTGCTGTTGTTTCAGAGATAGTAAAGACTATTATTAGGTCACCCAGAGGTCAACTATACCTCCATTTAACTCCGGATAGAATAAAAACAATGTAGCCTACTTTTTCAGTGCTACTTCATCTGTACAGGTAAAATAATTGTCTGTGCTGATTTGGTTTTTAAGATATAATTATTTTCAATGACGGCCAACGATGTCACCCTCCCAGTAGATGGTGGTGCTGAGCTCTTTCCTGATATACAGTTATTGCATAACATCTAATGTTCTTAAGAATTTTTTTAAATTTTTATTTTTATTTTTTGATTTTACATACTCTAATTACTTCTCTGCATTTAACCCATCCCCTTGGGGAGCAGTGGGCTGCCATTGAGAGGCGGCCGGGGAGCAGTGTGAGGTTAAGGGTCTTGCTCATGGACCCAGAGGGGCTAGTCTTTTGTGAATCCTCACAATCTCAGGATTCAAAGCCCTATGCCCTAACCACTAGGCCGCCACTCTCCCCTCACGGACTGCTGCTAAATTGGTGTTACAAAATTTGAATCGCTTTGGGGAGACCATAATTTTTTGGAGAAGCCCCAAAAGCTCTGAAAAAAAAAAGAGTCCACGTTGGTTCATCCAGAGGCAGCTCTAAATCTACACCCTCAGAAAGCACCGATGCTGGGCAGTGGGCAGTGACAGACCAGGCTCTATGCTGGAGGTAATTGAGGATGATTGACAATCCTGCTAGGACTAATTAAATCTGATTTTTTTAAAGCCACCTGGAGAGCATTCCTTATTGCTACCTTTTTTTTTTTTTTTTTTTTACATTATTTTCTCTGTATTCCATTTTATGTGAACAAAGCTTTGCCTACAACAAGTCCCTGATTGGTTACAGTGTTGCGATTTCATAGAAAAGCTCAGCTCGTTTGAACCTCAGTGATCACCGCTCCTCTCCATGCTGTGCTGCTGTTTGAAAACACCTCAGCTCTATCTAGTAGCACAAGGTGAGAGTGGAGAAATGAACACTTTCACCATGTGGAGTTCACCACTCACCGCTTTACCACCCTTCACTGCACGGTTTATATAGGAATTCTATGTGAATCCACTGCACTCGGCGTTGTCACCACCTCAGGTGTGAATGCTCCATAAGAATGCAAGAATATTTTATTATCACACATCTGTGGCCATCAACAGACATACATAATCCTGGCAAGAGGAGCAGGTCATAATCTGTTTGTCTTTGGGTATTGATTGGACTTTGATATTTTTAGGTGGTGTTTGGTATTTGGAGGGTTTGTTGCAGTTTTGTTGCCTGTGGTGTTCTCAGTAAATGATTTGCACTTGTGTTTTGAGATTATTTTCTCTTTTTTACTTGTTAATTAAGATTTATTTTTATGGTTATTCTTAAGCCTCTTGTTTAGTGATAATCAGTTGTCATTTTCAATTACTGTATATTTAATTTTGTATCATGTTATTTTCCCTCAACTTCTTAGTCCTGATAATCTGCACTGCAATCTGTTGTATGCACTGTACCCATATCATCCCCATGCCAGTGTTCACATCCCATGCAGTTTAAAGCCAGAAAGTATCCTTAGCTATATGCCAAATGCTTCAAATTATTTTCCTTACCAGTGTTCTACAATTACTCTTGCATCTGCAGCATGTTTTAGAAAATCTTTCCAACAAAACCTGTGAATTTAAACAGAATGTAAGACAGCTCTGCATTTTCATTTTAATTAATTACGAGTAAAGATGGTGATTTCTCTCACAGCTCCCAATGCTGGAGCAGGACAAATGAGAGGTGTAGGACTAATTTCAAATATCTGATTCATAAGTCTCTTGATACTATTATTTTCTAAATAATATTGCTAACCTTCCTACTCTTCTCATAGTAAAGTTAATTATTGGAAAAACCATGGCTTGCTGGTGGCACATGCAGTACCATGCATTGTCACTACATCACTCCCTTGATCCATAAGGTTGGATTGCTCCTATATGAGTGAGCTGATGAAGTACCAGGCTACCTTGATTGAAACTCAGGGACATAACAAAGGCTGGCTGACTTTTACCCCCCTCCAGGGGCGTCTCTAGGTTTAAGACACAAGGGTGGCTCAGCCCGCGCCGAATTTTTTCAGTGCACCTGCTAAGGCGTTGTCTAAGACAAGGGTGTAACTTTGTGTTGAAAGTTGGTGGGGACGGCTCATAAGGAAAGGGAGCTACCTGCGCGACGCCTTTTTTTTGTTGTTGGAAAGGATAAAGCCAAAAAAATGCGAATAACATTTATCAATTTAATGCTTACAGTTGAAAACATAACTGTTACAATATTCACTTATATATTTTGTGCAAAAAATATCACATAAATCTAAACAGACAGTACAAATCAAATAAATATATCAATTTTGTAGAACATTTATTGACAGTCAATTTTTGGGTCACTTTTTAAAATTAATTTACTTTTAAACCAAGACTCGGACAAGATCTTATGGGGCCTTAAGCAGAATATGATTAAGCAACTCCGTCTTTCTGTCAAGAACATCCACCAGCAGGGTATCCAGGGGGGGATTTACCATTAGGCAATACTAGGCAGTTGCCCAGGGCCCCAAGTTCTGGGGGCCCCATAAAACTCTGTTTCAATGTATGGTTAATACAACTAATCCTTATTTGTGCACATTAATTATGTT